CGCTTAGAGAGGGCTGAAAGCCCTATGAAGCGGTATATAAGTGTAACTGCTATTGCTATTGCTAACCTCAGATAGAGGATAAGACAATATTTCTCAGCTGTGGCAGCTTTAAGATGGGGGGGGGGGCTTCAACTCCCAGAATTCCTCAGTCAGCAGTACTAGAGCCGTCAGCAATGTTTGATATATTCAGGGCTAAGGTAGTTAATTGTCAAGAGTGTATGCTGAAATTGTCTACTTGTAGTGTTTTTCATGTGTTTTAAAGCAGAACGTGCTTTTTGATCAGGGTTCTGAATGGGTTGTTACTCTTCAGTAATGTCCACTTAAATTTCCTATTCATCTTAGGAAATAAGCCCAAATCTATTTTTCTCGATGTTTTTAGACCGAAGTTACTGTTATAGAATATCATTTATTTTGAAGACTTACTTTTTCTATTGTTGCAATCAACTTACTAAAATAACATTGTTTCCTTAGCATTAGAATTAGAAATAGATTTAACATAACATTTCTTATTTCTTTGTGGTCTTGTAAAGGTATTTATATGGTTCTAACTTTTCTGATCAAAGAAGTAAAACTGTCAAGTTACTTAGGTAACTGATTGTGTTTATTGGTTAAAAAAAATACAGTTGTGCACCCAGCATCCTTCCAGACTGTTCTGTATTTCAGATTTGAGTTCTTGGATTCCAACCTCTCCAGCCCACTGTTCAAGTCCTGCTCTTCCTCTCAGAGTGATACCCACTTTATCAACCCAAGACATGAAAACAGCAGGTGTTGTATTCTTAAACCATCTTGAAAATTTTCTCCGTAGTAAAATTGTGCAAGATACTCATTTTTTATTGGGAAAACTAGTTTTTTCTAGTTTTTCTAGTTTTTCTTTTCTTTTCTTTTTTAAAGCTCTTTTGCAAAAGCATCTTTTCTTACTCTGTGAGGGACACTGGACAATTTTTATAGATATATGTAGGCAATAATCATGAGCCATGGTTTTTGAAGAATAGTTGAAGAAGATAGATGTATAAAAGAATAATGTAAATAATTATATCTTTAACGGGATAGGCTATATACATTATATTATTCATTGTGGAATAAATTTAGGTAAATATGTTCATATCTTTTTAATAATATTGGGTTTGTTTGCCACCAGATAAATTGGATTTCGGTGAGAATAGCTTGAAGATGATGCTGAAGAAACACCATGAAAAGCGCAAGCGCCAACCAGTAAGTTAAAAGGCAGTGAGATGGCTGCTCTTTAATATTTAGTTATTAGCACCATTTAAAGTAACCAAGGACACTAATAGGCCTTTGACTTCCTTTCTCTCGTGCTAATGCCATGTTTTCCCGAAAATAAGACAAGGGTATCTGTGACCTGGGTACTTGAGAGACTGCCTGCTGCCAATTACCTCCCAAAGGCCCATCAGATCCCACAGATTAGGCCTCCTCCGGGTTCCATCTACTGGC